CAGGGCGGCTCTGTATTTGGCTTCTGACGAGGCCAAGTATGTCACAGGCCATAACTTGGTGGTTGATGGTGGCTTCACTTGCTACAAAAATCTTGCCCTTCCCTCTCATCAAAATATTTAATCAATAAATAAATTAACTTTTTTTAATTATTTTGATGGAATTTTGAGATTCGAGAGTAATAATTATTTTTTTCCTTTAATACATACATATATATATATATATACTATTTTTAAATTAATAATCATACCCATTATAAAACTCCGAATAAAGATTATTTCTGAAAATAATATTTATTACCCATAAAATTTTAAGAAAACAAAAATATAAATAATTTGAAAATTTTCACATTGTGTACATACATACGTGTATGTATATATATATAATACTTGAATTTAATTTCAATTTCTTTTTTTCATTTAATGCACTGAAGGTACATGAATTTAATAATTTATATGCAGTAAACTAAAATATAATATATATTGTTCTCGAAAAAAATGTATATATATATATATATATTAATTCTCTATGTTTTATTTATTTATATCACGAGAATTGCAATACAAATTTAATGTCCTTACCCACTTTTATATGCTCTATACCATAACCACTGCCAAATCAGTTTAAAATAATTATACCACAATATTCTATTTTTTTCTGGTAAATAAATATATTATTTTTTACTGTAATATTATAATCTTATAACAAAAATATACATAATTATTAAATTTCTCGTGAAAATTTAAATTAAATAATATTAATATTTTAATTTTTTTAAAAAAATAATAATTTAGACCCAAAATGGTATAGTCTTAAATTTTGTAAGTGTTTAAATTGTAATATTGATTAAATTTAAAATTTTAAAAATTAATTAATTATATCCAAAAAATTATTGAACTAATAGTATTTATTACACACCTTTTTTCTTTTTCTCTTTTTAGTTGCATGTTTTCCACGTGTCCATTTTAATTTCCCCTTCAATAATTTAATCAGCTTTTTTATTCCGCTAATTAATTTTTAAAAACATCCGGAGACATTAATTTATATTTTATATATATATATATGTCTAGACAAAATTGGTAAACTGATTTGCATATATAAAAATACACATGGAGAAGTATATTTAGCCAAATTTAGAAAATATCCTGAAGTTACCTCTATATATATATATATATATATGTATGCTTACATATAAACATGTAGATCCGTTATCCACACTCCATATATATATATATATATATATATATAAACATGTAGTAGTAGTAGCAGCTAGCTAGTTTATGTAAATCTCACGTGAAGAGAGAGGGAGGAAGAGGCGTAACTTGGTGATGGTGTAGAATATTATTGAAACCGATGAGCAGCCTATAAATGTTGGGTCAAACATGGAACCAGAAATTTAGGCCGCCCACACAAACAAAGAGAGAGAGTTCGCGCACTCAGTTTTGGTATACGTATAACCCTTATGTATTAAAAATTATTGGAATTAATAATTTATTAAAAAATAAATCAAATTGTGATTTTGGGTATATTTACTACGATATTTACATATCCTAAAACACCTTATAATACTAAGATATTTTAGTATAAAGTTTATAATAAAATTACCATGCACAAAAAATTCAAACCAATTGTGTATCTTTGTATACATTAGGAGTTCATTAATGAAAAGGGTATGAAAAAAATTTAAATTCAAAACATAACTAAATTTTTTTTTTTTTTTTAAATTAAAAAATGAGAGAAAGATTTAATCACGATTACAAATTTTAGTAGGGTTCTTAGAATATCATATACATACACGCATGTTATATATGATATTGTATTTGAACTAATAATGGAGGGAGTTAAAGGTAGCTTTTAAGGTTTGTGAATACGGGGGTTAGAGAGGGACAAGTGTGCGTAACAAGTGTTTGATAGCGGAGGAGATTGTTTTAAGAGACAGGAAATTGAAGAGTAAAAATAAAAATAAAAGAAGATGGGTTTGATTGGGTAGTAGGTGCGGTGTTATCACGAGATTCTTGGGGTTTTATCTCCAAAATTTATTCCTCATAATAATTTTAAATCTTGGATTTCCATCCACCCTATGCCAACCAAGTAGTTTATATTATATATTATATACACACACACACACACATAGGTTTCTTTGAAATTTCTGTTCGTGGGTTTAAATAAATTGGGTCTAGAAAATTTGTATGTACATATATTTTAGTATGTGTATGTATATTAAATGTTGTTTTCTAATATATTTATGAATATAATATGAGTATTTTTTTTTTTCATTTTTTCATATGTAAATGGAAATAGTATACATAAATAAAATTCATCATAATATTATATTTAAAATAATTATAGAAAATTTTAGAATTCTTCGTTGAATTAAAATTTTATCTAATTTAATAGAATTGATAATAAATTTTTACATTTAAAACGAGATCTTATACGTAATCATTTTTGTCATTTTAACTCTTTATATCCTAGCATAAATTAAATTAATAAACAAGATTAATATATATTTTAAATTCAATAACAATTTAAATTTTTAAAATACTTCGTGACTAAAAAAAATTAATTTTGTTTAGATACAACATAAAAATGTAAGTAAAAATAAAACGTTTAGAGTTTGAGTGAGAATTATAAAACTAAGTAAACGGACGATGATAAGTGATTCAAGAAAATTTTAGTATTTGGTATGTTTAAATTTTTTTAGTTATAATAATTATAACGGATTAAAATTTTGAACTAATAATTTTTTTATTTAAAAAAAAAAACAAAAATCAAAATTGTTATCACAATTCAATTCAATGGTGACCACATGCAACCTCTAATGGTTTATTTTTGTCCGCTATAAGCAACAGCAACAACTGCATTTTGGTTACATTGTGTGTGGTGGATTTTCAAACCCAACTATTTCTTATCTTCACTTCTCCTTGCTGGTCCCCTTTCCTATATACATATATTTATCTTTCTATGTATACATATTGTTTCTCTCTCATGAATAATTCAATATATGCACATGTCAGAAATCTTCTTTAATGGAATATTATTAATATATTTTCCATGTATAAGAAGAAAACAGATATATATATATATATATATATATATAAGATTACATATAGCATGTATCGTATGTGATTTCATTAAAGGGGTCTCAAATTTTGCAACCCTTTTGCTTCAATTAATTTTGTTCCATGTCTATGGTCTTAAAATGTAATAATACCCACATGCTTAATTAATTGAGCAAATCTAATATTGTATTAATTAATTAAATTAATTAGTTATGTATATTTAATTAGGATATGTTGAATAATCACGAGCTTAAAATTTAATTACCCAAATGCTTAATTAATTGAAACAAATCTAATATTGTATTGATTAATTAATTAATTATGTATATTTAATTAGGACATGTTGAATTAATGGCGAGCTTATAGTTGCACTTTTTTTAGGTGTCAATTTTGTGGTGTGGTCCAAATTGGACAATGTACGAACAAGGGAAGTCTTATCAATTCAATCATATACATGTTTAATAATTCATAAAATAAGTATGATATACATTTTTATTAATTAATCATTGCATTAAATATGTTATTATTCGGGCCAAGAGTACATAGTTTAAAATAAATAATATACTTCTTATTTTATTTAAAATTTGTTTTATTATTTATTAAATGTGCAATTTAAAAAAATGGTCGGCTATAATTTAATGTTTATATTTTAAAATATATTAAAAAATTAACGGGATTTTATTTTAAATATTAAATATTATTTTCAATATTTTCAATTGGCCCACACTCCCCCACTTTAAATCTATGGTTATATTGCATGTAAATCGGTCATGTAGTTTGGCGGGAGACAAAATAAACTTAATTTAATATAATACAAATTTGTAGTTTGGTAAATTTCTATATAAAAATTATTATGTAAATTGACACAACACAATATATAATAGAAAAAAAATATATTTTTAATAAAAATTTAATATATTTCATTTATCATGAATCCTAATAATACTATAATATGTTAAATAAGATTTTAACATACTATAGTTAGTAAGATTTATTAATAATAAATTATATTAAATAAATTTCAAAATCAATATTTTTTTTGGCTTATTAATTATAATTAAATTAAAATAAATTATTTAAAAGTCAAGATTGATATTAATATGCATATTAAAATTGAAATTTATTAAGAATTTGAACATAAAATAAGTAGCATAAATATATATAAACTTCTTCTTATAACGAATGATCAATTAGTTGAATTATGAGTATTTTCATCAATTTATTTGATTATAAGAATTGGAGTTAGAGTTATACATTTTTTTATCACAAGATAACCGATAAAAGATTTATTTTTTTTATAACGTATTCTTGATGATAAATTATCAATCAATCTTCTACTCTAAATAAATAAAATATTTTAAAGTTAAATTTATATATTATATTATGACAATTTTACTATAATAATAAATATATTATTTATCTGTATAGAAATATAAAAATTTTAAAATTATTTATTTATTTTTTTTATACACTGATTCTAAATACATGATTATAGAATTTGGTCCGGTAATCATTAAATATTTAAAATATATATTTTTTTAAAAAATTTAAATTTATTTTATGAAAAATTATTTAAATACAATTTTAATATTCACTAAAATGAAGAAAATATATAAATAAATATTTAAAAAATTCAAGTTTTTGTAAAAATTATTATTATTATTATTTTTGGGTAATCAAAATTAAAAAGGGAACAATTTGAAGGGCAACTAATTATGTGTATTAGGACAAAAAATGAGAAAACCCAGAAACAGCAGAGGATACACATAAGATAAATCCGCAGAGCAGACTCCATTCATTTTCTCTACGCATAAATACATGCATAACGTTCAAACTCCATTTTACTTGTTCGTTTTCTTCTCTCCCAATCACAGAAAAAACTCATTCTCTCTCTGTTCCTTTTTCTTTTTTTTCTTTCCAACCATCTTTTTCTCTCTCTCTCTCTCTCTCTCTGTGAAAGCAAAAGCAGGGAAGAGATGGTTTTGGGAACAGCCAACGGCGTTGTTTGGGTTGAAGATGGTGACCACCCGGAAGACGACGCTGTTTCTTGGACCAGAAATGAAAATAACAGCTGCAACAACAACCATAATAATAATAATAACGGGGAGGAGCACAGAGAAGACGATATGGCCATGGGTGGTGGTGTCGCCACCTTCAAATCCATGCTTGACGGTGACTGGTACATGAACCCACCTCACCAGGAAGATCTCCATGGCCTGCAAAATCACCCAGAGATAAGAGAACTTGGTGGTTTCTGCTCAAACCCTGCCGATAATCTCCTTCTTCAACAGCCTATTGACTCATCTTCTTCCTGCTCTCCGTCACAGGCGTTTACTCTTGACCCGTTGCAGTCACAGCCGGTTTTGCCTTCCAAGCCCTGCCTCTCTTCCCTCATAAACGTCTTCTGCAACAACCCTTTTGAAAATGGCTTTGATTTCGGTTCGGAATCAGGGTTTCTCGGCCAGTTCCATGGGAACCAGTCCCCCAATTTGGTAGGCTTTGCAGGACTGAGTTCACAGACCCAGATGGGTACTCCGGAACTGAGTCCGAACTCAGACCTTCAAGCCACCAGGTTGCTTCCATTAACAGAAAACGGCGGTACATTAGGTGGGAGCAGTGGGTTCAGTCCCACTGGTTTTGAAGGCTTTGATAGTTCAAATAATGCTCTGTTCATGAACAGGGGCAAGGTTTTAAGACCTCTTGAAGTTTTCCCGTCAACTGGTGCACAACCAACTCTGTTTCAAAAACGAGCTGCCATGCGGCAAAACTCTGATGGAAAATTGGAGAATTTGGAGGTTTCTGGGTTGAGATTTGGGGATGTGGCAACTGGGATTGGAGGAAATTGGGGGAGGGGCGAACCTGAGGTAGATAGGAAGCGGAAGAGGAGCAGTGAGGGTGAGATTGAGGAAGGTAGCTTCGATGCTTCGGGTTTGAATTATGATTCTGATGAGCTCAATGATAGCAGCAAGCTGGAGGAGAATGCGAGGAATGGTGGATCCAATTCAAATGCGAATAGTGCTATAGCCGGCGGTGACCAGAAGGGAAAGAAGAAGGGGCTACCGGCGAAGAATTTGATGGCGGAGAGAAGGAGGAGAAAGAAGCTTAATGACAGGCTTTACATGCTTAGATCAGTTGTCCCCAAGATTAGCAAGGTATGAAGTTTGAACTTCCCTTATCCATTCTACTTTAATTAGCTTTCATTTTTAATTATAAATTTTTTACTAGTTCATGCTTTAGATCGCGTATCTTGATGTTGAGTGTTCATCATTGTTTATATATTTGTTGGCTAATATCTATATTTCCCTGTCGCGTAATTTATAAAATTTCCATTATTGTCTTCATTTTCTTTTGGGTATCAAAATTCAAGTTAGCATGCAGGCTGGAGTTAGAGCTACGTTCACTGGAATTAAGGGTTTAGTTTTTATATTCTTGAATTGGGTTTTGGTTCTTATAAGCACAGAGAATAGAACATTTGCATGGTCATATTTGTATGGATTGCTTGCTTAATTTTTCAATTGGCACCACCATCATTGCGTGATTTTCAATCGGGCCAGCTTAACTAATATGTTAAATCTAGTGCCTTTTCTCTTTTCTCCAAAAAAAAAAAAAATTCACTTTTTGTTAATTTTTAAGGGGATGCCTTTGATTGTTCTGGAAATCTATTACTACTTTGTTGGTTATAGCAGACCCTGTTTAGGCTTCTTGTTATTTGCAGATGGATCGAGCTTCAATACTTGGGGATGCCATTGACTACTTAAAGGAGCTTTTGCAAAGGATCAGTGATCTTCATAATGAGTTAGAGACAACCCCACCTGGCTTGCTGACACAGTCTGCAAATTTCCACCCATTGACGCCCACCCCTCAAACACTTCCTTCTCGTGTAAAGGAAGAGTTGTGTCCAAGTTCATTCCCAAGCCCTAAAGGCCAACCTGCTCGGGTAAGCTTGATGCTACACAAGTACTATACTAGAATCACAAATGCCTGGGTTTATATACAACTTACTATCTGAAGTTTCATTATGTTTTCTTGAGGCTAATTAAAGTCGTCAGTATATTTCTTTGAGGTTCGGACTAGCCTTACTGAATGAGGAAATTGGCCACCTTTTGGGTTAACCTGAAAGCAGAAAAATGAAATCATGGGTTGTCTGTGACTACACTTTTGTTAAATATGCATGGTATTTGTATCCTCAACCTGTTAAATATGTTTGGAAAAAGAATATTGCTTGTGTTTGTAAATCTTTTCAAATTCGGCTGTGAACTCAAGACCTTTGGTTGATCTAAAAACTAAAATAGGTCACTGGACACATAAGCAATGCCTTGTTATACCTCCATTTTCACGAGCTCTTCTACTTGTTACTTGCTCAAAGGATGGGTTTTCGTTATAACTTCTGGATTTGTGTGCTCATCAGTTAGACTAATCAAGTGAATGGTCACATCATGAAAGTTCAGCTTGGCGATCAGGTTACCTGTTAATTATAACTCCTACAAGATAAATACGATAGATAATTGAGGCCAGACCTTTTGTTGATGGAGTTCATAGGTTCATCTAATTTATCTTTATGTGCAAAAGATATATGATCTTACTGTAAGCCTTGTGGTGCAATAATCAGTCACTTTTGTTAATCACTCGCTCTTCATAAATTAATCTGAAATTTGTTACTGAAATATGGATGCCTCTGAAATTTGTTTTTCTGTGTATTGGTGGAAGATGCTGTATACCATTTCATGTTATGGACATTGCTAATTAGGAAGTGGTCATCATCCATACTGATATAAGCATTAAGAATGGAAAACTCTTGGACAAACTCTTCTCCGACATGAAATTGAAATCCATATGACATGACTGCAAATAGTTATATGTATTTGAGTTATCATCTCATGGAGTAGCCAAATGAAACTCTTACCTAATGCTCCTTTCTTCTTTTCTGGTTCTATAGGTGGAGGTCAGATTGAGAGAAGGGCGGGCTGTCAACATCCACATGTTTTGTGCCCGTAAACCGGGTCTCTTGCTCTCCACCATGAAGGCTCTCGACAACCTTGGATTGGACATTCAGCAGGCTGTCATCAGCTGTTTCAATGGGTTTGCCTTGGATGTTTTTCGAGCTGAGGTACACATCTTTCTTCTATTTTTAGCGTATGACATGTAGTAAAATCAGTCGAGTTGCATGTCAAATGGAAAGTTTGTGCTTGTTCTGTGCTTATACCAGGAGCCAGGTTCTATTCACTTCCAGTAAAGCAATATGAAATGGGCTCTTATTACTTGCTCCTGTTTTCCAAAAAAATCTCACAGGATTTCCCTTAGATTAATATAAGGATTTTGTTTCCTCGTGATCAGAAGACTAATTTTGTGTTCCTTCTTTTGGTTCAGCAATGCCGGGAAGGTCAGGATGTCTTACCAGAGCAAATCAAAGCAGTACTTCTGGATACAGCCGGTACCTCTGGTGCGGTGTAATTTCACAGTTTATACATGCAAACCCATCTCGCAAAGGGAGGCATTGACTGTAGTTCTGCTGACCAGTTAGCTTGTAAATGCAATTGCGTCTCATTAGCTGTTTCAATTGGTCAGAGCAAGTTCAAATGGTTGTTGTTGTTGAGATTTTAGGACGGATAAAATCATATCTAGCAAAAGTGCTTTCTTAAACAAACTTCAACACAGTGCAGGAAACTTGAGATGTTGTCTTCAGTAATTTCAGCTTTTCGAAATAAAATAACGTTTGCTTCTTTCGGCCAATCCATCCCACTCGACTCTCTTTCAGCTTGTTTGGATTATGCAAAGAGCTGCCTGGCATGCTTTTAAGCTCTTCCCAAGCCCTTCAGGAGCAGCTGGTTAAGAAAGATCTATGATGTGAAATCAAAATAGAATGAGGTAACCAGTGGTAATCCAGACTGGTTTACTTGCATTTCAATTAATTTTCGGATTGAAAAGGTAGATCATTTATATCAGAATTATAGGTGGTCGTCGGTTTAGAACTGGATTGGACTGGATCAAGACCGGACAAGGGTAAGAGTCTGGACCAAGAACTGCCTGGCTCGTTGGCCAACCCATGACAAGCTGGCTCTGGACCTGGCTTGTTACACCGAACAGATCTAGTTTGACCCATTTGGTTTAAGGAGTCCAGTTTGTCAATGATGCATAATTATTTTCGTATCGGAGGAATAGAGAAATGCTTGAATTTTTGTGATTATTTTTTAACAGAGGTTGCTGAATATCAAAAACTTATTACAAGAAATCCTAATATACAAAGAATATTGGAATTTGATATGTATAATTTTTTAAAATAATAACATATATAATAACTTTGTTTATACAAAATGATATTTATAAAATATTTTATATAATTCCAAAGATTATATTATATGTAACGGGGGCAAACCAAAATAGATGAGACTTGAGGCCAAGGATCAGGGAGAGTGGGAGGACTAGACGACAAAGATTTGCATGCCAACAACATTAGGCTTCAACCAACACCACCTTCAGAGTCTTCAAGAGAAGTTTATTTTATCATCACCTTAACAACGTGTTTATTATTATTTTTTAAATATGAAGAATCTTTTCCCTGTGGTCCCCACACAAGCATACCTTGAAACTCTTTATTTCATTATTATGAATTAAAAATTTTCACAAGTCAATTAAGTCTTTAAATATTTTTAATTTGTAACTATAAGTTTTAAAAATATTATTACAATAATTATATTTATTAAAATGTTTTTAATTAATACTATTTAGTTTTTGATAAATATAATTACAAAAAATTTCAATCATGTGAAGAAAAAAGTAGAAGTTAAAATTTTAATTAATTTTTACTAGAACTTAAAAATTACTTTTTGAACGTTACGCATTTCGCTCGGTTCATAATGACATCGATTTTTTTTTTCAATGGATGAAATTATGATATAGCAATATCCCATAATTACTTGAAAACTTTTTCAAGTAAATATGTATTCTCCCTACGATAATAATGATATCGACCGTGAATTTGACGCGGAATTGAAACTGTTAATCATTTTATCTTATATTTTAAATATTTTATTTTATTTTTTTTAAATTATTATTATTTAGTTGGACTAGACCGATCTATTAAATATATTAATTATGATAATTAATTAGAAAAAATAATTTAATTTTCGGATGTATAATTTACTCAATACCTATATTTAATTTTGTATAATTAAAATTGGGTTAATGGTTAATATTATAATTACCTCTTTGTCAATTACCATGGCTTATTATCAAACACCTGAGGTTGGCGCGTCTAAATTTTGCACACAAGCCGGCCACACGGCGGCGGTGCCCGTAGACACGACCCACGCGCTTCCGCACACGGGCGCGTTTAGTAATAGAGCGATGGAAATGCAAGTTGGACTCTGGATGGTCAAACTTCAAAGCTCATAAATAGGAAAGTCCAACCAAGTGTCAAAATTATTAATATTTTTTATGCACTAATATTCGCTAATTAACCCCCTTAACCACGATTAAACTACAGCTTACTGTTTCTCAAGGGCAAAACAGTAAATTCAACAAGAAAACAACAGGAAAGTATTCTCTTTCCCCAACGGGCTATGTTGTTTTAACAGCAGGCGGCGCCTTCGTCTTCTTTTTCTCTCTTGCTCTGAAAGGTTCATATTTTTCCTCCTCCTCCTCGCTCTCTCTCTCGCGGTTCCTTCAGAGTTTCGAAGCTAGAGTAGCTTCCTGTTTACTCTGAAGGAATCAAGAGGATTACTATTATTCCTATTTTTTTTTGAAGATAACAGATCCCACATTTGCCTTCTTATTTCTTATTGGTAATTTCTCGTTCTTGTAGCTCTTCGTGTTCATTTTCTTTTTTGATCTCTATCAAATTCCTTTGCTGTCTGCTTTTGTGTTTTGCTTTTTGTTTTCTTTCCTTTTCTACTCTTATTACTTTTTCGTTTACAAATGATTTTGGCTCTGATACGGGTAAAAACGATGTATTTCGCCGCGGTCTAATGAAATGAGTAAATGCATTTTTCTTTTGTGTCTTATACGCAGCCCAATTACGAGGGTAAAAACTTATGGTTTTCGTACTGTATTGTGATGATTTTCTATCTATTTAGTTATCCTGATACGATTCAGTGCAAAATTATCGTTCTTCGCATTGTATTATGATGATTTTCTCTCTATTTAGTTTTCTTGATATGATTCAGAGCAAAATTAACGTTCAATCTTCTGGTTTTTACTCTAGCCTCTTGGTACGGATGACTGTAGAGTTATTATAGATTGTGTCATATTTTATTGTGCTGTTTGAATACGATTCAGTACGAAAAGCTGAACTGTTTATTGTTTTCTTTCATTGACAATATAAATGCAGTGATTAGTAGCATTTTTAAGCATCTGTCGAAATAACCTGTGTTGTGCTACCTGCGGGATCCGTTATTGCCATACTTGGAACTTTGGGTTTGTAAGCCTTTTGTAAAGCTCGTCAAGTATGGCAACTTCATTGCAATTTTGTGGAGTTAAATCTCCGAACCCTGCCTTTA